ATCAATTCCATGGCCTCCTGGGCAGCAGCAAGCCGTGTCTGAGAATCCTGGACGGACAGACACAAGTCAGACAGACAGACAGACGATCAGCATTGAGGTCATGCACATGAACACCATTTAGCCCTCAATAACGTACGTCCACTCACTCACCTCTTGGGGGGATGCACCCTGCACGTACTCGCCCTGCTCGCCGAATGGGTATAGCATCTCGCTGAATGTCGGTGCCCGGTTGGCCTCATCGCAGGCCAGCAACTGCTGCACGAGTGACACGGAGACTCGGTCGAAGCCCACAACGAAGATGGGCTGCTCTATTTGCTGGCGAAGGATGGCGGGGTGGCTGTGGGCCCTGTCGGCCATGTACAGCAGGTTGCAGAAGGCCTGGCGGACCCTTTGGCTCAGCAGGAACTTGCCCAGGAAGGACATGTCCTTGCCCTCCGGCAGGGCCGACTTCAGCAAGACATCAGCAGCCGCGAGCACATCTTCCTCGGAGCCCACCAGCTGCTCGAGTCCTGTCTGTTGCCGCGCCATGTCGAGGAGCTCCTGAGGGTCCAGAGGGATGGCCTTGGCATCGTCTGACGGCGAGGCGACAGTGGAGGCATCGCCGTCAGATCCGCTGGGCTTGGCCGGTCGCTGGCGAAGGCTCTTGGCAGCCTTCTGCATCCTCTTCTGCATTTTCACCTCCATAGTGTCCCATACGAAGGGCTCGCGCTTCCACGTGGAAGAGACAGGGTTGTCGAGGCGTTCGCGGCCCAGCCCGCCGGAGACCTCACTGTAGATGAAGCCAATGATGGCGTTGAGCGTCGGGTAGTCGAACCGAGTGGTGGCGGGCAGCTTGACGCCAATCTTGGAGGACAGGGCGTTGCGGAATTCGACAGCGCCGAGTGAGTCGATGCCCAGCTCCTGCAGAGGGGAATCCAGAGGCGGCGCTTCCGTCATGCCGAGGACCGTCGCAGCCGTCTCCACGACTGCCTTGTGGATGTGCTCCTTGAGGGCCGCTGCATCCATGCTGCGCAGCTCGGCGGACACGCCTGCAGCCGCGCCTCCCGTGGCAGCCGACGCCACCGTCTCAAAGAAGGGCGGGATGACGTCGTACTTGGAGAGGAACGTGTGCCACACGAGAGCCTGGCAGCACGTCACTCCCACACTATCAGAATGCCTCATGACGTCGCCGAGCACCCGAAGGCCGAGCTCGTTGGTGATGCCGCGCACGCCGACCTTGTCCAAATATTGTGAGAGGTCGGCCGCCATGCCCTGTTCTGTCCACGGTCCCCACTGGATGCTCTGGGCGGCGAGCTTCTTAGATCGGCGGTACTCAGTCAGGGCGTCCAGACACGAGTTGGCCGCAGAGTAGTTGGACTGCCCCAAGTTGCCAAACAGAGATGCGACGGACGAGAACATCACAAAATGGTCGAGTGGAAGCTTCGTGTCGACCGACAGCTCATGGAGGTGCATCGCACCCATCACCTGAAAGCGAAGCAGGAGCCCATGAATGTCTGAGTGCTTTGAG